GGGGTACCCATCTGCGATAGCCTTAGAGGGCTGCGCTTACACTCATAGAATCTGGGGTTACAATACGTAACCAAGGTTTTTAGACCAAATATTACAGATTTGAACAAATACGCACAAAAACATCAAAATTAGTACAGAAACAGTACTATATAACATTTTAGACACATTCTAGACAGTTTATCAGCTAAAAAAAGTTAATTTTGGGGTAAGTTACTCTTTAAAGAGGCATTCACTTAAATAAAAATAAAAATTCAGCCCAGTTTCATGATAAAGATGTACAACCTTATAGAGTGGTTTGATTTCCTTGAGATTTTAGAAACTTTCACAAAACACTTMAAGCCTAGACGTAGAAACCTTGTAGTTATCTTGTGTTTTCTGAGTGGTACACGGTGGTATCCGTGGTTAAAGCCAACGTACCACTCTTGCACTTTTGTACTGCTGATCAACAAGGTGGGAACCCTGATTGTATTGATCAGCTAAGGTGACTGCTTCGAGTGATTGATTTCATGTTTAACCTCTTGAGCCCCATGCCTCTGGTTCCAGGGGCCAAACAGCATTTTCCCTTTTCTATTCCTTTGAACTTCTGTTAACTAAAGATCAGTCAGGGCTCACTAAGCTCTTCTTTGTCTCTTTGTTCCGTATCAGCTTCCCAAATCAAGATTTTTTTTCTGAAGTTTGTTTTGTGTGCAACGTTGCCATGACAGCCTGCCAACCTTTGACATCCACCCCCTCACCCGCCTCCTTCGTTGACCGTCGGTGCTCGGCACCTGTTGTGTTTCTGCTGCGCCAGATTGTTGCTTTGGAAACACACACACACACACAGACGAACACGCACATTTCCGGGGCGTTCTGAAGACAAAGCAAAGATGTGGTTTTATCCGATCTTAACAGGATATGCAAGGGACCACCTTGTTTTGTCATGATTTATTCACACTCAAATATGCTTAAAGATTCTGTAGCTTTCTGTTAATCCATAATAATCCAGGAACAACTGAAGCACTCACAACACTTGTTCAGGAATGTTTGAAATCATCATTTGACAACTGAGAGCATTTTATACAGCTGGTCACTGCAGTCCTCAGAAGTGACGGGCAGTCATGAACTTCCCCACCAGGGCACTTTGACAGCACATCAGTGAGCTTCACAAACCTCCTCCTGTAACGTCTGGACGATGTGTGTACGCGCTAATGGGACGTTTCCCGCTGCTCTGTGATTGGCAGGAGTCACCGAGCGGAGCCTTTCATCATCGGATGAACACATGGCAGATGTAGGCCTGGTTGAAAGGATGGATTAGAGGGAAGGGAGGAAGAGATGAAAGGAAGGATAGATGCTATGAACAAGGGTGAACAGATGAAAGAGTGAACGGTGGAATGAGTGAAGGTCAAGAGAGAGAGAGAGCAAAGGATGGATGTGATTGATGTGAAGCAGCTTGTTTTCATCAGGCCGATGCACGCTGCCTGCTCTGTGTGTGCGTTTGCGTGTTTGTGAGCATCGACATTAATTGATTTTGGGGTTTATCTGAGAACCGTCTCCACCGTATCTTGCTTGTGTCACTCACACAGAAAATCAACTTTTTTTCTCTCTTTCTTGCTGTTTCTCATGTGTGATTAAATCAATCAAAGCATCGGAAGAGCGGCAGTCTCCCCGCCACCTAATCAAAAAGAAATGAAAACTTTTCCATTTGTCTATGATTTTCTGTCTCACGTCATGCCGCTTCACCAGAAATCACGAAAGCTTTTTTCCTCTCGAGTGGCTTCTTTTGGTATTTCGATGAGCACACACCAGAGTGGGAGAAGAGGCTGAGCTTCAACGTTACAATTTCATTGTTGAGATTTGCAACCGTGTACGTAACCTGCCACCTGTCTGCTCAGACAGGAACCAATGCACTCCGAGCAGATGTTTGTTTCACTGTAATTTGTAGAGACACACCCGCGTGTCTGTTTTACTTTTATGACACTGCTTGACTGGTTGACACATTTGTTTACTCCGAAAACAAAAATGTTGCCAAGGGTACGAAACGACAAGTAATGATTAATGCCTGATTCCTATTAGCGTCTGTCATCAGGGGACAGATGAGGAATGTCTTTACAGCCTGCTGAACGCTGCAGGTGTGTTGTCTATCTGCAGTCTGCAGCTTTGATGCCACGTGTCGATAAGCCCTGATAACTCAATCTCAGTTCATTGTGGTTACCTTAATTAATGTTTCACACATTCTGTTGAAATTATAGAATTAGTAGAATAGCTTTTCTTCTTTTGACACCAAAATCTGTCAGGAACTTCCTGTAGTTTCTTCAACAAATTCCAAACTCCTTGATATAATGTATGAAATTGACTCTTCTTGGATTCACTTTCTTTCTATGGCATGCAGGGCAAACCATAAGGCTTTAGTTGCAATAATAACAAAAATGCTCCTCCAGTCTTTTTGAAAACTGTACTCCTGCTTAGACTTTGAGTATTGAAAGGTTCACAAAACTCTCAACATTGTTTGTCTTACCTTTTTTTGCACAAAATAAAGCAAAGAATAGTAAAAGTTCTGTTTGAGATATTAGTTAAGCCCTAAAGGGTTTTAAAGGTAATTTCTGCCTGAAAATACACAACAAAATAAAGCAAGAATAGCTCCACAGTTATAAGGTCTAAATGCTAACTCTTGGTACCTCTGTAAAGGTAAGATCTTAAAGCTACATTTTTAAGTGAAACCGCTATTGTAACTCTTACTCTGCCTGAGTTATTTGTGATTGAATAAAGAAAATTTGAAATTTTTTTAGCCTCACCTTAATTTTTTTTAAACAACAGYGCAAAACACAATGAAATTTCTTGTGAAAACCCAGGAATGCTCTTAGATTTTATACATCTACATCTTGAGAAAAAATGTAGCAAAGTAGGACTGAATAAGTTGAAGTATATTCATTTCACAAAGGTTTTAGTGAGCAGTGTGCCAGGCGGAAATGGCATTTTGGCACAATTTAGCCAAATGTACCCAAAACTGTGCCAAATGGGTTTTTTATTTTTACTTTATAAAATAGAATCTGGTCTAATAAAAGTGTTGATTTCTATTGTATGACTCATTCTGCATATGACATAAACC